TCAAGGAAGCATGGCTTCCTATCATTAGAGTTGTTATAGATCTTACGCCAAGTCGACCACAATAACAAGATTAAGAAAGTTACGTGACCATCTTAATATATGCTGAAAAAGAATTTTGATTTTTTTAAAAAGGTCGACAAACTAAGAACTCTCTTAATATGATCATGAGCATATGTGTAAAACCTATATCAAACATCTAATGATGAAATTTAAAATCAGAAAAAAGGCAAGGATGTCAACTGTAATTTTATTATTATACATTTACCTGGGGTCCTAGCCATCCCATTACTTCAAGAAAAAAAAAATTACCAATTAGAACTATAAAGCGTTACATCCAACATTTCATTATTCAGAGACAACAATATTATCTTTAGAAATAACCCAAAAGATAGACATAGAAATTAGTTAGTAAAATTTCAGCAAGGACGGTGGACATAAGAGTACTACACAAGAAATTGGCCTGGCACCGTGCCTCACGCCTATAATTCCAGCACTTTGGGAAGTTGAGGTGGATGGATCACTTGAGCTCAGGGGTTTGAGACCAGCCTGGCCAATACTGTGAAACTCTGTCTCCACTAAAAATACAAAAATTAGCCAGGCATGGTGGTGGATGCCTGTAAGTCCCAGCTATACAGGAGGCTGAGGCCAGAGGATCACTTGAACTCAGGAGGCAGAGGTTGCAGTGAGGTCACATAGCGCCACTGCAGTCCAGCCTGGGCAACAGAGTGAGACTACGTCTCAAAAAAACTGTTCTTTTAATAGCAACCCAATATGTGTATGAATTGTATTAGAAAATGCTTTTGAAGACATTCTAGAAACTAAATAATGCTCACGAGTGGAAAAAGTTAAAATCGAAAGGTTATCATTTCTCCCACTAATTTATAAATTAAAAATAATTCTAATCAAAATCCTAAAGGTGTTTTCATGAAACTTGACCATATGGTTTTAATATTTATGTAGAATAAAAGGACTTTAATGTTCCAAAAGAATTTTGAAGACAAAAAGCCAGGGGGATGGAGGGAGGGAGGGCAGTGGGTACCCCATAAGATATAACTAACATTTACAAATCATGTTAATTGAGCCAGTTTAATAGTACTGTATAGAGTAGCAAAGATACCAATGGAATATTAAACACATATTAAATTATAATAATATATTTATATATACATGTGTATGTGTATATATACATGTGTATATGCATATGTGTATATATACATATACACATATGCGCATATATATATATATATATATACACATAATTACATATGGGTGGTTTAACATTAGAGTATGTTAAACTGATATGTAAAACAAATAATATTGTATCCCTTCTGGCTGAATCAGAATTAGAAATCTGGAACCTGTGGAGCCTACTCCCTGCATATCCCCTCTTCTTAATCCAGGTACTTCACTCCCTATCCATCCTGGTAGACTGTGAGACATACTTCAATGTCCTGAAGCTCTATGGAGAATTGAACTTGAAAATCATCAGCTCATTGTAAGTCTTTCCTTTATCATCAGAGATTGACAAGCTTTTCCAGAAACGGCCAGATAGTATTTTAGGTTTTAATTGTCATGCAGCCTCTAGCTTACTACTTAAGTGCTGAAGTAAGATGAAAACAGCTTTAGACAATATGTTTGTGCCAATAAAACTTTATTTTAAAAAACAGGCTGTGAGCCAAATTTGACTCATGTATCATAGTTTGCCAACCCCTGGAAGGGGTTGTAAGTGAAGGAAGTAAAAAGCATATAGTTTTATTACCAAAAATAACTTTAATAATCTTCTTATGGGCCAAAAAACCAAGGCCCTAAGTAATTCACTTCAATTTATGTAGTAATTTGTGGCACATGTAATTTAGCAGAGGGTTATACTAAGGACATTTAGAATTATAGTTAAGATAGTATTTTGTTCCTATTCTAATCTGCTTTTATTGTAAAAACTCTCCACTCTCACCTCTTTCCAGGAATCTTGAAGAATCATGTTCTTCACAGGAATTATAAATTCCCCAATTCCATGTCTAACATAATTTCTACTGCCCTCTTTGCTTCTCATGCTTCAGTACCAGTGCTTCTGAATTTGAAAGTCTTCACACAAATCACACAAGTAAATCATTGCACCAATTTTAGATGGTCTGGCCTCTTAAAATGTTTCCTTCCATTACTCAAAATGTATCTTTGCTATGTCAGGTTTGAGGTATATTCTGTCAGAAGATTGGGCATTTGGGGGAATTCAAGTCTTCAACTGCAAGTTTTACTGCCTGTGACTCATGGTCTAAAGATTTATTCTGTTATTTCCTGCCTGTTATTTTCTACCATGGTAAATCACCTTGCAGAGGTGAGGGCAGGTCTTGTCTTTCTTCTGTGTGTGACAGTTGTATTAGTTGGAATAGGTGAAATCCTGTTGAAACAGACAAAGCCTAAATCTTAGCTGTTCAAAACAACAATATATTCCACTGTAAAGCCTTTGGGAGTTGGTGAGGGCTCCAATCCTCATCACTGACCTTATTCTGCTTCTGAAGCTGACAGGACAGCCACTGTTGAGGAAATGCTGATCACAACATCACACAGAAAGGAGAATGTAATGAAGCAAGAACTGGCTCTTAAAGCTTCTGCTTGCAGTGACAAGGCTCACTTTTCAATGGCCAAAGCAAGTCAAAAAGCCAAACCTGACTTGCATGGCACAGAAAAGTCCCCCAGGGAGGGAAATCAGACATTGATGAACTGTGGCCAAAATCCGGCTGAGCCAGAAGCTAAGGTCACCAGTATCATTACACCCAGAGGACAAAGAGTCCTCAGGCAAATTAACTGCTAGGATCCTGCCCTGATGTACCAGATACCAGAGGTGGGTATACATATATATATATATTTCTGGCTTCGTAAATCAAGACGTGGGTCTATTCCTTAACAAAAAGTAGCTTATTATTAATATGCCATTTTAATATGTTAATTTAAAGGACACTTCTATGGGTGGAATATAAATACCATTTAATATTTCTGAGAGCATTTATAGGCTTTGGATGTCCATGATTCTTTACAGACTTTTTTTTTCCTGTTTTCTTCTTTTACCCTACCATTCCTGAAATGTTTCTCCATGAATGTTCTTCTCCTGCTTCTCTCTCATAGAGATGTATATTTCCATCAAAATATACTAAGGTGCTGGTTAAAAATTCAGATTCCCGGGTTACATCTCAAAATAACTTTGGATCATCCTGGAAACCTATGTTTTTATATTATTTCCCAGATACATCTTATGACATTAATGTTTGAAAAACACTGGCTGAGATCCTATGCCTTGAGCTTGTCCATGAATTTTTATAGAATCTGTGGCCACACTTTGGGGTTGTTAGTGATGCCTCATTCTCCTTTTTTTTCTTTCTAAACTTTGTTTTGCACAAGTTTGAGGCTTAACCTGTTTGGCTTTACTAACGAGCATGTACATAGATAGATTTGTCTTTTGCCCCATAGGCTTACCTTGGATAAAAAACAGCTGCCAGAGATAAATATTACTGTTTTATCAATTTATAGGATTTTTTGAGTTAGAAAGGAGAGATTTGGAGACACAGAGGAAAGCTCTCAATAAGACTCCATAAAAAAACATTAGTGTGAAATTAACTGGGCATGGTGATGTGCACCTGTAGTCCTAGATACTTGGGAGGCCAAGGTGGGAAGATTGCTTGAGCCCAGAAAGTCAAGGCTGCTGTTAGCTGAGATTGTGCCATTGCACTCCAGCCTGGGTGACAGAGTGAGGCCCTGTCTCAAATACCACTCCCACACACAAAAGAATCAATGTGGTGGCCTGTATTATAAGCTTGACACACAAGGCTATAACTAAGAATCTAAAGGTAGGTCTGCAGTATAACACTGTAACATTTGCACTTGGGTATCATTTGGTTGATCACACAATCAATCCATTTATCTCAACTTTATAATTGATTCCTATGGTCATACTTGAAAAATTGCATGCTGATTTATTCCCATTGAAATTAGCATGCACAAGGTGTGAGTGATGTAGATGCAACATCATCACCATCACTGATGCCCCTTCACCTATCATCCTTCTAATGGCTATGAGTGTTGATCTGCATGCTCCTCCCAAAACTGTGTGATTAGTGCCCAAACAAAAACAAAAACAAAAACCTTTCAGGATTAAGGAAAAACATTCTCAGATTAACGGTATGAAAAAATCATAGGACAGATGTTAAAAGTGTAGAATACAGTTCTATTTGCAGAAGAAATGAAATTACTGGATATGCAGTCATGACATAGTATTTTTTTTCCAAGTGTTTTAATTGGCTTTGTTTGAAAAAATTAACTGGACTGAATTTCTACTTTTCATCAAACAAGAGTTTTCAACTCACTGTCACTGGCAATGTGAGCTCAAAAAGACAAAAACAATACAATTGAGATAATCTTTATATTTCAGACAGTTTTAATGCCTGCATCATTTACTGCAGAGAAGAACAAAGGGATGTAGAAAGAATATGTTTAATCAGGCTTTGGAGAGTTGAATTTGTTGTAATCATACTGCCCCTAAAATCTTTCTTTCTTCTTTGTGCATATGATGGAGCAAAATAATCAGGTGAAAAATCCTTAGACAAATACTCATGAAGTTGCTCTTTATGTGAAATCATTTCCTCCTAGCATGTAGTAATATACAAGAATTGTCCCTTTGATTGTTTTGCCTAATACAGAGTTGGACTAGGGATAGCCCAGAAAACGCCTGTGTGGTACTGGTGCACAGGAATCTGCTAATTTCTGAGTTTGGGTGAATATCTATCTTCACTTTGTATTTCACACTGGATGGCCCAACATTATTCTTATGAATTCTTTACAACCGTTTTGTTGGATTAGTTTCATATTAGATTACATAATTTCATGAAGAATTATTGGATTATAAGTGTTTTATACTTTGTTATAGTGATATTCTACAACCTGGTATTTCATCTAGTGTGATATGCCAATTCTATTCTTGGAATCTTTTCTGGAATTAAACATCAACTAAGTTCAAAAGTAATTATTTTTTTATTTCAACTCTATAAAGTATACAACAGGCACTCAGCAATTACAGCTGCAGGAAAAATACAGAGCAAATAAAAGCAGGATAGGTTTATGAAAAAGTTTTTAATCTACATCAAAAGAGTGCAAGTGGTCAATGACCATTTGATGACAGTTTGTTGCATTCTGACTAACAAAGAACTCTTTCATGTAGAACAAATTGTAAGAGGACAATCAAATAACCATAGCCGTAAGAATACAAAAGAACTGACCAGTTGTAAAAACATCATACATTGAAATAAATTTGATAGATGATGCTTAAAGAAATGTCCCTTTACTCAGAAAGCCCCAACCTCTGAGTCATTGCCAAGGTCCCAGAGCTCTGTCTGTTGATGCAGGGGCAGAGAGGAGGGCTAACAACACACTTTCAATGTTTTGCTTTCTAGGTCTGTTGAAAACTTGCCTCGTAAATGATTTGCATATACAAGAACTCAGAGAAAGCATCCTGTTTTGTTGAGAGGTGCACCAAGTGTCTTTTTCATCATTGGTTTCATAACGAGGTGTGGTTAGCAGTCATTTCCAATTTTTCTTTTGGATCGGACCATGTCAATGGAGTCTATAAAATGAGATATGTTAGAACTTGACTGCACTAATTTATTTTTACAGAATCTGCACAACTTAGCAAAACAGGAATACCTGTATACAGACTGATAGTATGTCATATATTAATTTGACCTGCACATACATTTATACATTTCACAGAAATGACGCTGTATCTCATTAACAGATACACGGCTCTGGTACATTTAACAGAAATAAGAGAACAACTTCATCATTTCTGTAATTCATCAATATTATATAATAAAGGCTTATAAATTGTTAGCAGAAAGAACTGTAAAACGCAGCAAGCTAAGAAAGGACAACATTTTGAGGTGTGTTTGTCTTTGTCATGCAGCATAACACCAAATTTATTTTTTTAATAGGATGCCATGAATTTAAGGCACTTGCAACAATGCCAGATAGCCAGGTCATGTTCTAAACTATGGACAGATGAATAACAGTACAGTTGACATAATTTTCAATAATACTGACAATTGTGACATTAATTCAAGTCTACTTGGACCTAAAAACATTATTCAGTACAAATAAAATGAAATAATAATGCTGTGAAACACTAAAAAAAGTTATATGTACCACAAAATATCACACAAAAATATCTATTTACATAAATATTTGTCTGTGGTCCTATTGTGAAAGAAAATGTTATGGATAATGCACAGATCACTTCTATTGTGTGAAATCAGTTCTAATATCCTTGTTTTCAATATGGTGGCTGACTTCATTAAATTTGTTTACCATCAGTTCAGTCATTTAAAAATCAAACAGGAAAAATTCAATAGCTAAGTTGATATATTATTACACATGTGTAATTCACATGCATATTCCACAATTTTAGGTAAAAATTATGACTTGTAAAGAATATAATCAAAATAAATTTGTTTTGAATGCCATATGGATCTGATTCATATCTTAGTAAGAAAGAAGATACAAACATAAAAATCATGTATAGCATTATTTCAGAAATTATTTTTTCAAATGTATTCAATCTATCTCAGTTATTTTCATGTTGCTTCCCTTGACAATTTCAGTTTTCCTGTGAGTCAAAGACACACAGAAAGCCCTTATTTCCCATACTCAACACATTAACAAGAAAATCATTTAACAAATCAAACAAGTTGGCACTATTCTAACTTATCCATATGTTCTTTAGTGTAAGAAAATAGAGGGGTTATGAAAAATTCAGAAATAAAGGGAGATGCACTTTATGGAACTGACCGTGAATTTTAGCCCTAGAGTCTTCATTAAGACAAGATTTATATCCTAAAAATTCAATGTTGAAAATTAGATTAATGTTTTCTCTTGGTACATCTTGGAAAATGTAGTTTACCTTTATTTTGTGGTGATTGCTTCAGACACCTAATGCAATGCTATGGGTGAAATGAACAAAGATGCAGTAACAAGTGGGAGTTACATCGTGCTGAATGCTACTTCTTCCTTCTCCACTGAACTTATTCATATTGGTTGTCTTAGACTTGAACCATAGTTCCAAAATCCACAATAAGTGCTAATCTTTGGGACTTTGGGGATTTTTGAAAAGTTGCAGAAGCAGAGTCTCTCCAAATAACAAGGAAATTCAATATCCTAGCAAGTCTTTAGCATGCCTAAACCACACTGTCTTTCAACAAAAATTACTGAACATTGACTATAATGTTGAAATTATATATGTCTAAAAGGCCAATTAAAAAATATAAAGCTGAAATAACATTCATAGCTGGATTTTAGGTTATATTTAATTTCATATTCTAAAATACATAGAAAACAGTGGATATCTTGGGAAATAGACCAATTTGGAGAAATTAAAAGGGAGGGAAAACTCCAGAAACACAAGAATAACAATAACATTTTAGGATTAAAGTTTTAATTGAAGTTTATTCCCTTTTCATTTTATTCTCCAAATTTTTAAGAATATTATATTTTCATAAGATATCATATTCTAAGGTAGTTTTGGGTTTGAAAAATTCGAACAAAATTCATAATATATGCCCTCTTAGTTAAGGTATCATCTAATTGGACTTATTCTTGCAGAAATGTTGACATTTGATTGATTAAAAAGAAAACTCTACTGAGAAAAGAACAAGCCTCAATTTAATATACCAAACTCACACGCTGTGCCAAAACAGAATGACAGCTTGAAAGGTTTTGTATTTTTTTCCATAGGTATAACACAGTTTTGTCCAAGAAAAGCTTCCAAATGGCTGAGTTACTTATTACAGCTAATAATAATCAACTGGTCTGCTAGCAAAGGACTCAGTTTAATTTGCAGATTCTTTTCTCCAAGTGAATAAAGTAAATTAGTTTGACATTTTCAAATCTAGTTTGTTCTAGGTAGTGTGATATCACAGAACTGTAGTAATTCTGTTCTACTTAAAATTTATTTTTTTTTTAAATCAGGTTCTTGTTTTCCTCTGTACTGCTTTCTTACTTGGAGAAGTGGATGGACTCAACCTGTTCACAAAAAGGTAATCACCACCTGGCCAGGTTTTTGTTTTGTTCTCTGACCTCAAATAAGTAATATTCCTGGCTTGGTAAACCTGTAAATCTTAATAGCTTTGACTTTGGGCTTTCTTTTTTTGTCTTTCCTACTTCTTTTATTTTTGTTTTTTGTTCTTGTTTTATTTTTGTTTTTGTTTGTTTTTGGTTCAGGCCTAAGACAAAAAGCTAGTTCAAATAGGTTTGTAATCACCTTTGTCTCCCAACTCCAGACTGACAATGTTGTATAAGTGAAACTGGACAGGAGTTTGGTTTAATAACTTCAGTGAAAATGCTTGAGTTTCTGGCTACACATATAATGATTTGAATTTGTGTTGTCTGTTCAGACACTGACATTTACAGATGAAAGATATACATAGCACCTATATAGTTTTTATTTATTTTTTGGATGGGTTTTAATCCCTTCCTACTCCATCCCGCCCCGAGGGTTTATTTTTATAAAAGGGAATACTTTAAGCCTCAGTTTGAGGGTATGTTAGGTAAAACCAATTGGCTGCTAGTCATTTACTTCCAGGACCATCTTTAAGCACAGTATTTTTAAAAATATGAAATGGTTTTGTGAATTGCTTTTTTTTCCACTCTGTCATGCCAATTTATCAAAAAAAAAAAAAAACAAATATCATGCATTATTTTTCAGTCCTCTGTGAAAACGCATATATACCTACTATGAGAGGTCTTAGCAGAATCTATAGCCGTTGTGCTTTTATCATATCAATTTTTAAATTTTGTCAGAAAGAAAAGGTAACATTCAGTCTTGTCATCAGCACTGCTGGGAAATAAAATCATGAAACTTCTAGCACTGGTGTGACATGAGCTCTGTGACCAACGGATGTGTGGTCCTCTTTTGTATGGTATATACACCGGCCTGCAGTAATAGATCTCACAGCCTTCACTTGAAGAAAGGGAATAGCCTAGTTTCTGTACCACAGCAATCTATCGTACCCAATATATTATTCTTTCATCTTCTTGAATATTCTAGCAAGGTACAGACTCTTATACTAGATTGAAGTGTTTCCTACAGTCTTTCAAATTATAATCAGAGCAAAGCAAGGTCATTGCAACAATAGAAAACATCTCTTACTGGTGAAAGGCTTTGCTTCAGGACCACCATGTCAACTGCTACTTTAGGTTCAAACAGAAAACATGTAAAGAGCACTATTGTCATCTAAGCAATAAGTCCTAATGCCACTGTAGTTACTGGAGCAGCATCGATCAAAGGCATCATGGTGACCCCGAGCACTAATCTTCTCTCTTTCCTTCAGGTTTGCTGGCAGCTGTGTCTCAGAAAAAGCTGTCTTCAGCAAGGCAGAAGCAGGTAAGAGAAATACATTAGAAGTCTATGTCCCATCCTGAGTTGTCATCAGGTGGTGGTTCATCGTTGTCCTCAGGGAAACTGTCAAAATTGCTTGTGTCTGTGGGTGATGCAACCTGTAAATAGGAGAGAATGCACTTTGTGTGTGTGTGTGTGGAATTCCAAGCTGGAATTTTTAAGTACATTCTGTATTTATTCCCTATTAGTGACTACTTTCTTGTGTCTACTATGTAGCAGGTATTGAGGGTCTCAATGGTGAGTACAAATAGACATGGTTTTTTATCCTCACAGAGTTTATACCCATCATAAGTAAGAAATTGTATGATTAAAACAAATAATCACAAAATCTATATATAATTCAAAAATCTATATATAATGAAAAATAATCACAAAAATCTTTCTATATAATAAACTTTGGCTAGAGCTATGAAAAGAAAAAGAGATGCCATGAAAGTATACAAATGATCGTGTAGGACAGGCACAGTAGTTCATGCCTATAATCTCAACACTTGGGAGGCCAAGGCAGGGAGATCACCTGAGGTCAGGAATTTGAGATAAGCCTGGCCAACACATTGAAACTTTGTCTGTAATGCTTTTTATTTTTATTTTTTTTTGTCTTATGAACAAACAAATATTAGAATGTAAATAAATCTTAGAAGAAGGGAAAATAGAGCCAAGTTCATGGTGTGCACCTGTGGCCCCAGCTACTCAGGAGGCTGAGTCAAGAGAATTGCTTGAACCCAGGAGTTTGAGGCTATTCTGGATCCTGGGCAACATAGCAAGACCCAGTCTCAAAAAAAAAAAAATGGAATAGAGAAAATGTTTCTGTACAAATAGCAGTCTTGCATTAGTCCTAGGCAGAGGAAACACAAATGAAAGTCCCAGGACCACAAAGTAGTCCTCTCCCCCCGTAATTAAGATGCTGCACATTTTATTAGCTAGAGGCAATACTGAGTAAAAATATAAATGCAATCTGCTGAAATCTATTTTAAATTAATATAGTATAAACAGTGAATTTAGTAGACTATTTAACAAAAAACTTGATTTTTTAAAAAAAGAGAATCAAGAAAAAAGAACTATTTTTTTTATTTTAGAACCTGAAGGAAGGATGAAAACACACCATTGTGCCTGAGAGTGCCTCCATGTAGCATGGGGAGGGCAGCAGTTATGTGGAGACATACATGAAACAACATTGGTCCCAAACTGATCGCTGCTGAAACTGGTTGCTGTAAACTCACTGTCAACTTTTGTCTCTGTTTCTATATTTTGAACATTTTCCATACTAAAAATTAACTTATGTTCATAAATGAAGGAAATCTGAATTAAAATGAAGAGTTAAAAAAGATAAGAGTAAAACGTATTTACAGTGGCTATCCCCAAATTTAGCTGCTTTTAAGCTTGGATTTTAGAATATGTCATTATTTCAATGTGACATTTTTCCTATAGTTTGTTTAACCTTATAACAGGATTAAACTTTAAAGATAACAGATCACTGTTGACTGACATAAACACCATTAAGCGTCTCATACAATTATAAGCTGGAAAGTCTACTTACACTTGGTATTATAGGAGGTGTCAAGGTACCTTTCCTTAAGCCTTCCCAATTAAAGCCCTCAAACCATCTAGAAAAGGAAAAAACGTTGATAGTTAAAGACATTATATGTCAGCTAAAACCTTCTCATTGCAATGTATAATGGAAAGCAGTTAGGCAAACGTTTTCATGTGACAAAATGTTTTCTATTTAATTGCATATCTTTTCCAATTAGCTTATTTTATGAAATGCATACTTTTAAAGTATAAGTGTCCAATTTTAAATACCAGTTAAACAAGAAACTATGTTTCCTTGTAATTCAGTCATAATGTCTCTAATGACCTTGTTCCTATACTATAATTATAATTTAATAAATGTTATAATATGTCTGGCTCTGTGCTTTACAGGATATTTTATTTTAAGGAGGTAGAACAAGGGCATGAAAAGTCAGGATAGAAAATTAACTTTCCATTTTTACCACTGACTCAGTACACAGCCTCAGCTAGTTACATTTTACATCATTGTGATGGTCTCTACATGTTCCATTTTCCTCCTTTCTTCCCTTTTTTAATGAAGAATAAAGGTATTTTGTGTACAGTTTTTCTGTGAAATACGGACCAAAAAAAAACTAAGGTTTTTGCTTGTTTGTTTTCTATTGTCTTTGAAAGGTTTCACCATTAGCAAATGCTTACAAGAAATTCTTGGCAGGCCTTTCATAGATATTCATAGATATTTTAGTAAACATGTTTCTTTGATAAGGATGTGAATTTTCTGTCAGTGTTACACAAACAAATAGAGAAAAACCAATTAATTTAACTTTAGAGCATCCAGTCAACATAGGAAAGGTCTGATATTTAAGATGCTGCTATTGCTTAAAAAACACTGTATTCTGCTGTTATGACATCTAATTGGGAAATGCTTAGAAAAATATATTTTGTGTTTAGGAAATCAGGTATGATACAGTAGGGGACTTTTGTTTGTAATATTGTGGTAGAGAATAGAATCTCCAAATTTAAAATACACATTTCTTCTTTTTGCCGGAGAAGAAAAAGCCATGCTAGTTGGTATGAGTTGCAAGAAACTGAGTTCAATGAATTCAGTTTCTTATGTTACAGGATTGTCAGATAAATATAAATAAAGTTTCAGAAACAACTAGCAAGGCATTTAAAAGCCTAACTAGTTTATATGCTGTCTTTGGATGTTCCTATACACTAATTGTACTAGTTTTTACATCAATAACTTAAAAAGCAACACACTGGCGAAATGATGTCAGGTGTTTGGAACTCTGAAACCTAAAGTTACAAGGAAAGAACACTTACTTGTGCTTTTGAATGTCTTTTACTCCATTTTTCAAATTCCCCAATCTTTCTGATGGATTGTCCCTAAAAACAAAATAATAGTTTTATTACATCTAATCTTTTCACATTATGATTTTTTTCAAAGATAATGTAGTTGAGATACTTACCTGCATAGTTTTTTAATTAAATTAGCAGCATTTTTGGCGATCTTCTTTGGAAATTCTATCATGTCAATTCCTCTCAATATGATGTTATATGTTTTCATAGGATCTGGGCCTGAGAAAGGTGGGCTACAAGAATGAGAGACATGACAAGAGATATTACTTTTATTTCCCACATGAGAACACTTGAATTGCTATAAACTCCACAGATGACATCAATTCTTATTTGGGGCTTACATTAATAGTGACAATGGAATGAAAGTAGATTAAGAGCAAAACAGTGTGGAAGCCCTTCCAGGTAAATCACATAGCGAAACCAGAAATGGGTCAAGTTTATCTGCTGTTCCCCTGATTTCCTTTTACTGCTGAAGTCTAATCCCTCATGCTGTCCTTGGTCATTCAAGAGGCTTCTTTCACTCTCTGACCTTTTCCACACTTACTGACTCACTCATTATACTTGAGATAAAGTCTTAAATCATTAGGAGGGGCCACAGGAACACCAACGATACTACCCCACCCCCCCTCACCTCATGCCATTACCACCCTCACTCACTTGGATCCAGAAACAATAGTATCTTTCTGTTCCACCGAAATGCTGAGCACTTTCCTACCTCATGGTGTTATTTATTTGGCCTGGAAGGTTCTCCCCACATATCTGGCCAATGCCTTATTTTATCAAATCTCAGTGTAAGTTTTATGTTGTTTTCTCCAAAAGGCCTACTCTGGTCAACCTAATAAAACCAATTAAATAACCTATATCAACCCACAAAATCTAACAATCTAATCTTAGGCTCAAATTTAAAGTTTTAGTCCCTGTTACGCTTTCATAGCATGCTTATGCCACTTATTGTACTTTGTAATTATCTTTTCATTTGTGTAGTTATTTATGTTATGTCTGTCTTCCCTTCCAGAATAGTTTATTTTCTGCTGGTATTCCCAGAGTTGAGTAGTGTTCACAGCATGTACATACTAAGGGGTCAATAAATATTTATTGATCTAATACTTCTGTAGAATAGTACTCCTTCTATCCTTTTCTCTCTGCACAGAGGATCTCACACTAGGCATCGTCTTTGTTGGTAAGGATGTAACGCTTCAGTCCTCATGAGGCAGATCTGTTGATTTTTTTTTTTAACCTATCCATTCTTGAAGTGTGGTTTGTGGCAACTTCAGTGAGTACAAAGATGACTAAAGTCAGGTCTTTTCTTCACATTTCTCACAGTTTAGAAGGGAGATGATGGTACACCTTGACAAATGATTTCTTTGAAAATTAGTTATTTTCTTTAATACAGGTTTTGTGTGTCTTTGGGGGAGAAATGTGAATTATTATTTTTTTGTCCTTCATGTTCATGTTTATTAAGAGCAGTTCAAATGATTTCTTTTTATCAAGCAGGCTTATGAGTTATTTAAAGTAAGGAGTGGCAGATTTACCTGTGCTAAGGGCTGTGATGGATTCTGCCTTGATTTGTTGTGAAAAGTGCTTTCTATTTACTTTAATATGTTCTTAGCTAGTAATTGCCTATCAATTTTACATCACTTAAAAAATATATAAACATGAAAATCTATTTAGTATTCTCTTAGAATTTAAACAGTTTCTCTTTATGTGATGCTATGATTGAATATTCTCTTTACTCTCTTAAGTTAACATGCCAGTTTTCATTTTTACTTTAAACAATGAGAAGGGCCCACATCTTTGGGTTTCTCTGTTATCAATGTAATGTTTTCTAATTTATGGTTTTGCTTTTATATTTAATTGCTTATCTTAGACAACTAGGATCAATTATTAAAGATGGTTTTTGTGGTTTTTATGTGATGCATGTTAGTCTAATATTCATTCAATATATAAAACAAAATTATTTAGAAGAAAGTCATTCAACACCAAAAAATATTCATAGTAATCAACATTTGATGAACATATTTTCATAGATTTCTCTACGTGGATTGTAGACGGAATATATTATGCATATTTTTAATTAAAAATATTCCATTTAATTTTACTTTAAACTGAGTAGTAAAATGGAAAGAAATGCTAAATTTCAAATACATGCTCCTTAACCAATAATTCCTAAAATATTTCTCTAAAATTAAAAAAAATTCAAACTGAATTTCGAAATTTCTCTTCTGCAATGACACATTTTAACTGTAAAATATATGTAATATTACTAATTATTAATGATGAGAAATCTGTAGTTATACCTACTTTCACTTCACACCTTAATTTTTGTTGGTTTTAGTGTTAAGATTGCCAAAGACTACAACATTTACATTCTGTTCAATTACTCAAATTTAAATTATTTGATCTAAGTACCAATTAATTAGACTCAAAGCTCATCATCAATCTTTTTACTCGTTTCTCTATTCCTGAACGCTTTATTTTGATTTTTCTTTTTGTTGACTTGATTAAACAGTAGTGTTTTTGAGAAAGGCCTGGGTTCCACACTTTACATATTGTGTTTGTATTTGAAGAATAACTTACCTCAGTATAAATTACTTAAGTTATACTTTTTGTGACCCTTAGAACTATATAGTTCTTGATATACTATCTTTTGGTATTATAGATGCTGTAGAGAAGATTGAGGCCAACTGGAACTTTAGCTATCTTCACTCTCAATAGCACACATGCCATGTTTTTATGGCATTGATGCCACTAAGACTATTCCTTATTAATGAATTTAGGAGATTCCACATGGACACCCTGTGGCATTATTATTCTCAATCAGTTTCCCCCTGGTCACTGCAGATCAAAAGGATACACTTAATCAAATCTTTATGCCATTGATTTTCTATTATGTAATTAAATATGTTTTTCTCCTGTTTGTAATATTATATTCATACACATAATTGATGTTTTTTTTCTATTTCCTTTGACTAATAGATTCTCTTTCTGAAATATATCTATATCTTTTTTTCTTTTTTCATTATTTTTTCCAAGCCTATCTACTATCTCCCTTGCTGGATTTTTAATTGTTACTATTCTATTTTCTGTTACTTAGAGCATGACTTTCAGTTCTGTAGCGGTCCTGAGCTCTGCTAGTTACTTGTCTTCTTATTTACTAACACTTGCAAATAACTTAGAGGTTACTTTTTAGGGAGATCATGCTTTTGACAGCTCAAACAAATGAGAGGCAAGAGTTTACGAATACTGAATACTTTCTCCTATTTTCTTTGATTAATTTTCTTGTGTGTTCTTTAGCTGCTTTTACTTTTGAATCCTTCAGCTGACCTAAATGGGCAATATCAACTCAAACTGATTAAAATAAGAAAAACACTGAACTCGCAAAAGCACATTCCAGAGGTAGGGCAAATTCTAGAACTCGTAGGATCTGTGGTTTAAAGACCTGAAGTTTTTCCAGCATTTCATTCTGCCATACTCAGTATGAGTTTCATAATGACCGTTTCCCCTCATAGTTACAGGAAGTCTGCCAGTGGAAATAGGGTCGTATATTCATTCAGTAATTATTTGCTGAGTAGCTACTGTAGGAACAAAGAATTCTCCTCCAATAATACATTTTAAAATTATTGCTCTAGGTTATGTACCCAGTCTAATAAATTCCAGTCACTAGAGGAATGCCATGAAACTGGAATAGATGAACTGCATCAAAACTTAAACTGGAGAAAAGATAAATTCATCTTTTCCTAAGTTGGTGGAGGAGATGGAGCCTTGAACAAAACCAGTAAGTAGGAAAGGACTTGGTGTGTGTGCATGGAAGGGAGCTGAGGTTGTGAGAGGGGCAGGGACTGGCTTCTCTGGGACCCTTTCTGACTATTACTTATCCTTAGATTGGGCCACCCACCATGAAGAATAGAATAGAAAAGGTTGGAGGGAAGCAGTGAGAAATTCGCCAGCCTTCACTACAGTTTGTTCCTTATAACCAGATCATTTATTTCCTTTGCCCTCAATTTAATATATTCAAGGAAGTCATGTAGCTCATACAAAAGCCCCACCACATTCTCTAAAATCTTTAATCACTGCCTTTCTCCCCCTTTTTCACTCCTTGTGGCTTCATTGACCAACATTAGAAGCCTTAAAAGGCAGAATCGGTACATTGTATGAGTCTTCCTTCACAACAGTTCCTCTGTCATAATGTAGCGCTTAATTAGGTCTCTACATGAACATTCTTTGCTTTTTCAAGGCCCAGCCAGTCCTCTAAATGTTATTATTACTATTGAAGATCATTAGATATCACATTCAGGACCAAAATACATTGGAGTCATGCTTGTGGTCCAAGCATCATTCCTAGTCACATGCCACACTTCATAGTGTTTGGCAGGTGTGTTTGGTGGAACTTTTATTGTAACTAAAGATCATCCTCCTTGTTTCATTCTTGCCTTCTCCCACCTCAACCCCTGGCCACCATCTCTCACCATCACCATCATCTCTTGGGGTACAAAAAGAAAAGTAAAGATTTTTTAATGCTGTTATCTTTGACCAAAATAATTTCTGTCTTGTTATTTCTTGAAATGGATACAAAGTTTAGGTATTTTTAATCATACATGGTTCAATATATGTATTTATGGTAAAAAAAAAATAAGTTCTCTAAGTGTTTCATGTATGCACTGAATCCTCACAGAGTACCCTGTGTTGAAAGTCCTGTCTTCCTCTCATGTTCACTGTAGTGACTACGCCCTCTTAAGTCATTCTTCACATCCTACCTCACACTTACTCTTTCTTTCCACTGCCCCTGCCCTGTTCTAGGCTCTCAGTGTCCTAGAACTAAATTACTGCAATAATCTTCAAACTGCCTCCTATTCCTCTTCCAATTTGCTCTATTACATCAACTTAAAAAAAAAAATACCACAGCACATAGCACTCACTCTTGGTCAAAAAATCTCAATGATTCCCTCTGTGGATGGAGTCCAGACACTCAAGTGCAGTAATCATGATCCTCAAAAGATGACTGTTGCTGATCTCTCATATATATATATATATATATATATATATATATATATATATTTTATATCAACCTTCTCCATATCTGTGCCCATTATTGTCCTTCTCTTTCAGCCATGCCTGTCTGCCTGGATTACCCTTTTCTTACTCTCTACATCTAAGTCCTATTCTTCCTTCAAGACACAGCTGCCTTATATTCATTCTTCAAAAGCCTCTTTATGAACCCAACCCTGTCCTGAAATCTGTAGGTCATAACGCTCCTGTCACTCACTGTTCTTAGCACATGTCATGGTAGTGTATTCATCGCGTTCTTTTAGTATGGGTCCTTGAGGATATTAAAAGTCTGTTTTATACTTTGTGGTATCCCTAGAGCCTATTTGAGTTGATGATTATAGTATTACAGGAAAGAGCTACAAAGCAGTCACGTTTCACTTATATATCATAGTTGCTAATAGGTCCTCTTATTCTATAGAAAATTTATCCTATATATTTTGATATGATTATCGTCTCCCTTGTTTCATTGCTGGCTAAATGACTGGTCTAAAGTACCTCACAGAAAGACACTACAACCTTCCACATTCACATATGTAAAAAAGAAGTAGCAATAATGAGAGCAAAAGTTGGTGTTGAGGTGCCCTTGCCTGACCTGTTTTACACCTTGCTTTATGAATTCCTGGTCATCTGTATAACTAATTGAATTGTGGTACCAAGATATGGTGAAATGTACTTTAAGATGGCCTAACCAGAGCGACAAAAGCAGGAGTGTGTAGCTGTTTGCTGGTCTATTTTTATCAGCAGTTCCCTATCAATATCCATACCTGCCAGTCAGAAGTTCATACATTAGGATTCCCAGTGACCAGTAGTCGGCTGAAATGTCATGGCCTTTGTTCAGGATGATCTCTGGGGCTACATACTCTGGAGTCCCACAAAAAGTCCATGTTTTCTTTCCAAATCCTATTTTCTTTGCAAAGCCAAAATCAACCTTACAAAGAGAGAAAACCAAAATACTTAGGCTCTTTATGATTAGTTTTAAAGCAGTAAGTTATTTTGCTGAAGTACACCAATGATGAAAATTACGTAAAAATGTGTACGTCTTTATAGTCCAATCTTCTAAAAGGAATAATCTATATTGCCAACAAAGTCTCCCTGATCAAACTCAGTTTTAATGGGAAAAGTTGACACCTGAATATAGCATAAACTTAACATCATTAAACATAAAGGTAAATCTTTCTTTCTGAATATGTTTTTATTTTTCCTTCTTTTATGCTAACAGAGGTTGGGGTATAAACACAGAATCTCTTCTGTACATAAAAATTTTTAAAAACCGGTTGGGCCTACTTAACATCTTTCCCAGAATATACATGATTTCTGCTGGATATAATGAAGTTGACAATTCATTTAGTATTAATTTTTGAAAAGCTATTTTATTGTTGCAGGAAGTAAGTAACATAGTTATGGGACCAATGATTCTGCCCTTGGTAAGCATAAACAGAAATAAAATTATAAGGTATTCTTCATTTTTCTGAAACTCTTTTGAAGGAAGTCTTGACTGCAGAAAATCTATTTCTTTCTGAAACAATTTGGTTGAAACTACAAATAAAAAACTGCCACTGACTTGATTTCTCTAAAAACCACATATTGAATAACAATTCTAAAAAGTTTAAAAATGGAATCAAGCTCTAACACGTCCAAAGAAAGTTGTGCATTTGTAAATAAGAGAACTTCTCTTCTATGGTAAATCTTTACAGCTTTTGACTGTTATCATTATTATTACTATTATATAGCCTGGCTAGAATTGCCTGTAAAGCACATTTTTTTCCCCACTAGCATTATTCTTAAATCTAAAATATTGAAATGATTTATGGTTTTCCCTAATATAAAAACCCATTACTTATGAACAGCAAAAAACTGACTAGAGAAAAGGAATTCTAGGCCTGTAAACATGTGCCAGCAAGTGTGTTTTCTAATGCTTATTAAAAGCATGTTTTGCCAGAGTATTGCTAATTCAAACTTAGCCAACTTAATTTTTCATAACTGATACATCATTTGAAAGAACATTCAGTTGAAAACTGCAATGCCAAAAGCTGCTTTTAAGAAAGTTACAATATTGAAAAGGAAAACTGAGATTTTATATTAGCAAATGAACACAGTTTTATTAACAAATATTTTTAAACTGCAGGGCAGAAACCATGTGTGAATTGCACTGACCAGTTTGGCATAACCTCGGTGATCTAGGATGAGATTTTCTGGCTTGAGGTCCCTGTAAATGATTCCTTTGGAATGCAGATAGGCAAAAGCTTCTACCACACATGCTGTGTAAAATCTGGTTGTAGAGTCTTCAAACGAACCTCTGAGATGCAGAAATGGAATGAAAATTGTATGAAAAATTAGTTTCACTAATATGGCTTTATTTTCTTCTCATTTCACTATATTCCTTTGCCAAAATTTAAATCAGAGACCACTGTCCTACTGGCTAATTGTTACATGATTGCCATTACATTGGGTTTTCTGAAGCATTCGAGGATCAAGTTAAGGAATTCCCTCTTTATGAATGGAACAGTTAAATCTAACTTCCTGAAAGGGCTGAAGAACAATTCAACACAGCACATTTAATGTACTTAATGTCTTCCTCTCAATAGCCCACTACAATCTAAAAAGTCATAGACTTAACAGCAGTAGGCAGGAGAGAAAACTAATCCTATTTAGAGCTTACCTACCAAGCATTTGTTTTTTAAAGGAGAATTTTATGGGTTTCTTCACATTTATTCTTAGAGGGCTTGTTTTTTAATCTTTCTAAATAATGCAGATATGATTCATAAGAATGTGAATAAAAGCTACCATTTTTAAAGAGCCACTCTGGAAATGAGTTGTAATGCTACCGATGCAATCATAACGCAAGCGAAGTACTTTTCTGTTTTCAAAACTTCTGCAACCCAAACAAATAATATCTATTTGCAACACTACTGCATTCTTATTAAGGGGAAAAGAGGGACTAAAAGACAATTAGAAAGAAAAAGTAACTGTAAGGGAATGTTTATTAGTAAATTTGATAATGATGTTTAACAAGAAAGCTTTCTCTCTGTCTCATATATTTATTTATGATACATGGGCACATATATGTTTATTTGTTGACTAAATAAAATAATTTAGAAAAAAACATTGGCATCTAAGGTCAAACCCTTAGTTCTACTGCAGAATGTTTAAACTTTAACTGTTTTTTTTTTTTTTTCATGGAACTTTTTTTTTTTTTTTGAGACAGAGTCTCACTCCGTCACCAGGCGCCAGGTTGGAGTGCAGTGGCGCAACCTCTGCTCACTGCAACCTCCGCCTCCTGGGTTCAAGCAATTCTCCTGCCTCAGCCTCCCGAGTAGCTGGGACTATAGGTGCACGCCACTACACCCAGCGAATTTTTTTGTATTTTTAGTAGAGACGGGGTTTCACCATGTTGGCCAGGATGGTTTCGATCTCTTGACCTCGTGATCTGCCCGCCTCAGGCTCCTAAAGTGCTGGGATTACAGGTGTGAGCCACCGCACCCGGCCTTTATGGAACTTCTTAAAAAAAATAAACCATGTTTTTTTTCTTTCTCATGCAGTAAGCACAATTTAATAATTTCATTTCATAATTTGAAAATTATTAGTGTGAACATCAGCTCCTGAAGTGGTTGAGATGTAACATGAGTGACAAGCACACAAGTGATTTTATTATTAGACAGTATGCAACAAATGATAGCCCCAGAGCTTGCTTTCGTAAGTCTCTAATGCCTGGTTGCATTTTGGTGACACTATTTTTTTTTTTCAGAATTGTGGTGTAAAGTTTAACACACTAGGCAGCGGAATACAGTTACATTTTTACAAAATTCATAAGTGAATCCAAGACTACAACAACCACTTTTCAGGCTACCTTTCAGAAATAGGTAGTATCTTCCAGAAAGAGAATGTCTTCATTTTAATTAATCATATCACTTGAGTTTTCACTGAAATAATCAGCTTTTCCTAAGAAAAATATCATTCTTCTGAAACATAATTAATTCTAGGCATAATGATATCTATTCCTCTAGATTCTAGAATCTTAACTATAATTACCATGATTCTTGAATCTGTCTTGAATAATATCTGAATGGAACACTTGTGAATTTATGAGCACAAGAGAAAGTTTGAGAACTGCATTCATATGAGAAAATGAATGATAAACTTCATGCTACAATTTTCCTCTCACTTGAAGATATCCTTGGCAGAACTAAAATTCTATAATCATATGTATCTGGAAAGGAATTACAATATTGCCTTGAAAGTCCTTCCTTCTTTGCCCTTAATTAAGTATGTTTACCTGTCAAGAGAAGCATGTTTCTTTCACTTGAAGAGATTATTTACCATAAATAGTAAGCATCTGTGTATATATAATTACTATACAGCTTTAGCTACATTGCTATATGTGAATTCAATCACTCCTCAATGGAGAGCATTGCAAAGCAAAATAAAACAAAACAAAATGAAAGAGTACAGGGAATGGTCTTATTTTATTTCACACTATATGTCTTGCTTTAATCATGAAATTGATTACTTCTTTATGTCTGTGAGGTAGGAGGTGAAACTCAACTCTAGAGGCAGGGCTTGGACATCAGACCAAATTAAGGACTAGTTAAAATATGTCCCAGGCAGAACCACCACCCTATAAGACATGCCCATGGGTGTGCCATGTCAGTTTACCATTGCCATGGAAACACCCAGATGTTATCACCCCTTTCCATGGCAACAACCTGACAACCCAGAACTTACCACCTTCATTCAAGAAATTCTGCATATAACCTAATATATAACCTATAACCCCTAATTTGCATATAACTAAAATTACACATAAATATGGGTAAAAAACTGCCTCTGAGCTGCTACTCTGGGCACACTGCCTATAGGACAGCCCTGCTCCACAAGGAGCAATACCTCTGCTGCTGCTGTATACTGCGGCTTCAACAAAAGTTGCTGTTTAACACCACCAGATTGCCTTGATTCTTTCCTGGATTAAACCACGAACCCTCCTGGGCTAAACCTCAATTTTGGGGCTAGCCCGTCCTATATCATCTGTTTTAATCAGCAAGATGATTATTTCTTTTTTTAAAAAAAAAAATATACTTTACATCGTGGGATAAATGTACAGAATGGCAGGTTATAACATAGGTATATATGTGCCATGGTGATTTGCTGCACCCATCAACCTGTCATCCACATTACATATTTCTCCTAATGTTATCCCTCCCCTTGCCCCCTACTCCGCAACTGCCCCAGTGTGTGATGTTCCCCTCCCTGTGCCCATGTGTTCTCATTGTTCAGCTCCCACTTATGAGTAAGAACATGCAGTGTTTGGTTTTCTGTTCCTGTGTTAGTTTGCTGAGAACGATGGTTTCCAGCTTCATCCATGTCCCTGCAAAGAACATGAACTCATTTTTTTTTATGGCTGGATAGTATTCCATGGTGTATATGTGGCACATTTTCATTATCAAGTCTATCATTGATGGGCATTTGGGTTGGTTCTAAGTCTTTGCTACTGTGAATAGTGCTGCAATAAATATATGTGCTCATGTGTCTTTACAGCAGAATGATTTATAATCCTTTGGGTATATACCCAGTAATGGGATTGCTGGGTCAAATGGTATATCTGGTTCTAGATCCTTGAGGAATTGCCACACTGTCTTCCACAATGGTTGAACTAATTTACACTTCCACCAAGAGTGTAAAACCAGTCCTATTTCTCCACATCCTCTCCATCATCTGTGACTTTTTAGTTCACTATTCTGACCAGTATGAGATGGTATCTCATTGTGGTTTTGATTTGCATTTTTCTAATGATCAGTGATGATGAGCTTCTTTTCATGTTTGTTAGCTGCATAAATGTCTTCTTTTGAAAAGTATCTGTTCATATCCTTTGCCCACTTTTTGATTGGGTTGTTTGTTTTTTGCTTGTACTTTTGTTTAAGTTCCTTGTAGATTCTGGATATTAGCCCTTTGAGAGATGGATAGAATGCAAAAATTTTATCCCATTCTATAGGTTGCCTGTTCACTCTCTTTACATCAGGACTGCCTAAATGTGATTTGAGTGGGCCTTTCTGAAAGCTTAGAAGTTCTTGATTACTGTTAGTAGAAGAGGATATTATTTCTACAGCTGTGACTCTGTGTAGCATATCTCTGCTTCCTTAATAGTCAATTGGTAATGGAACCAAATGGACAAATGCACTGAAATGTTGTAATGAGAGTAAATGCTTATGTGAGAGCTCAATTTTTCATAAAATCTCTCCTGAATATTATATTTATATTCTGAATAAGCTGGTCATTAGCAGAAAGATGGAAAAATGCTAATACAAACTGAAGTTCATGAGAGGAGACTATATGTTAGAATATCGTGCCTGAAGCAAGAATCCTGGGCTTAACTCCATTTACTATTTGTTCTTGAGCAACTAACTATACATCTCTGGATATCTGTGTTCTCATGTGCAAAATGGGGCTAATCCAATCTCATTGGATTGTTGTGAAGATCCAAAGAATTAATAATGCATGTATTTAAAATAAGTGTCTGGTACACAACTTGGGCTTATTAAATGTAATAATGGCCATTTTGATTCAGCACCAGAAAACTCTTTTTTAGCTATTGTGTCTTAATATAGGAAAATTAACTAACATAGTATAGAACAGCTATGAAGTATTTTCAGGGTGGAGGTGGGGAGTTTGCAACACCAATCATCTCTGTTATTGAAGTGTTTCTGACTGCCAAGGCTAACTGCCACACATCAACTTTGAAGAATCCTCTGCTAATCTCTGTTCTTTTCACTTCCCCCATGCTTCTCACATGGGCCAAAATTACCCTTTAATTGCCTGCCAATCAAAGCCCTCCCTTTTTTACCAGGAAGTAAACTGACCACAAATTGTACATCTTTGGGTCTTCAGTTCTTGAAAACTCTATTTGTTTCCAGTTTTCTCTGGTCTTGAGCCATTTTGGAACATGGAGGGTTTTAGAAATCTAGTTTCCATTCCTTCAACACATCTATATTATCTTTCACATATAAATACATTTGTAACTGATTTTGAAAATTAAATGGACATCTTGTCTCAAATCTTCATAAATCTATACAGTACATGACACAAAATGTTTACCAGCACCACACTGTCCCATCACTAAAGGTTCGATGTAGATAACTTGTGGATTTTAAAAATACAACATCTTGAAAGCAGTCACAAAGCATAACACTAATGCTACTCACAATGAAAAATTACTATTAGAATTGGAAATGACAACGTAAATTTGATTTAAAACAAGTGAAACCTTGTTTCATCAATAGTTTAGACAGTTGTTTAAAGAAATAA